CGAGGAAACTTTCAGTAGTTCTGTACATATCTCAAGCTCGAGTAACCCTAAGTCCTTTCGATCAAGTAGTAGGCCGTATTCGTATTCCCGTAATTGGACTGGAACTAGCTTGAAACTGAGGCTAATGCGGGGAATCTTTCAAATGCAAATAACCTTTATCTCTTTTTAATGATATTCCCCTGCATGAGCCTCTATGTCAAGCTAGTTCCAGTTCAATGCCGAGAATACAAATATGGTCTATTAAGAAAGCTTTCACTCCTGATCACCGCTGACAAGCACAGCATACCCAGCAGACTTGTCACGTGACTTTTTGAATATCATCAGTGCTGTCCGGGCCAATCTAGCAAGACACATCACAAGCAGAGCCATCGGGAAGACAAGAACATAGATGGATTAAGAACACAAATAATGAGAAGAAAGATGACACAATATGATAATTTCTCAAAATCGCAGTTTAATTGCTAAGTCAAAAAAATACAATTCATCATTTTTCAATTTTCAACTCGCACGTACCGCGTCTACATACCACTTTTATCAAAGTCCTTCCCGCGCTTTTCCTCTCGCTTCCCTCGCGCCAGGTGGAGTGGGTCCTCAGCCAAAGAGTACACATTAGTCACGTCATCGCGCACTTCCCGTCTTCGTCGATTTCCTTGCGAGCCTGCATTGGTTGCGTTGCCTACAGCCAGATGACAGTGAAGGAATACAAATAGATAATCAGTAAATTAAAAACAATCCCCGTCAAATTTGGCACTCTCTAAATCTCAGACAAAAAAATCCTTCTCATTAAGATAACCCCCTCCCAAACCAAAATATGAGACCATCAATTTATACTAAAAGCCTATACATTTTCCGCCAGTATTTTAACGTAACATTTCTCGCTGGATTTTCTGTGTTAGGTGTCGGAGGACGCTTATTGCGAACTCGTGATTGGTCTTTAGCTTCTAGTTATACTTTATGGCAGTTTCGTTTGATCTCTCTTGCTTGCAACCCTGCACTTATTATCCTTCGAGCCGGTCACGTTCTCTATTTTACACGAGTATAGCCCGCCCGCCCACCCTCTTTCAGATATGTTCCTTTAATCTGTTCCTGTTTATCCATTGCCTGATACTGCCNTGAATATCATCAGTGCTGTCCGGGCCAATCTAGCAAGACACATCACAAGCAGAGCCACCGGGAAGACAAGAACATAGATGGATTAAGAACACAAATAATGAGAAGAAAGATGACACAATATGACAATTTCTCAAAATTGCTAAGTCAAAAAAATACAATTCATCATTTTTCAATTTTCAATTCGCACGTACCGCGTCTACATACCACTTTTATCGAGGTCCTTCCCGCGCGTTTCCTCTCGTTTCCCTCGCGCCAGGTGGAGTGGGTCCTCAGCCAAAGAGTACACATTAGTCACGTCATCGCCCACTTCCCGTCTTCGTCGATTTACTTGCAAGCCTGAATTGGTTGCGTTGCCTATAGCCAGATGACAATGAACGAATACAAATAGATAATCAGTAAATTTAAAACAAGCCCCCGTCAAATTTAGCACTCTCTAAATCTCAGACAAAAAAAATCCTTCTCATTAAGATAACCCCCTCCCAAACCAAAATATGAGACCATCAATTTATACTAAAACCCTATACATTTTCCGCCAGTATTTTAACGTAACATTTCTCGCTGGATTTTCTGTGTTAGGTGTTGGAGGACGCTTATTGCGAAGTCGTGATTGGTCTTTTCTTTCTATTTATACTTTAAGGCAGTTTCGTTTGATCTCTCTCGCTTGCAACCCTACACTTATTATCCTTCGAGCCGGTCAC